AGCCCACATTCCTAACTACACAGCTTCGTATAATACGTAGAAGAAATACATTTATGATAGCAAATATGCTGGTGGGCAGTAGCTGATGTGAAATAATTATATTCATAAATGTAAATGAACCATTCAAGTATATTTTATAAATTCATTTGCAGCATAGCAGCTAGTAACACATGGCTATGAGACCCTAAATACCTTCCTGCAGGGCAGCTTTGTAAAGTAGGACGATTCTTCCTGAGAACAGTTTTAGAAAATGATTGAAATGACTCCATAAAGCAGTCAATCATCTGCACTCCGTGTGTGTACTCAGGATCAGTAACTGAGACCCAAGAGTATAGATGGTAAATTAACAGGACACAGTGACTTTTTTTTCCAGACAGAGTCTCATTCTGTTGCTTCACACTAGAGTGCTGGGGCATTGTAGTTCACAGTAACCTCAAAACTTGGGCTCAAACCATCCTCTTGCCTCAGTTTTCTGAGTAGCTGGGACTACAAGTGTGCACCACCATGCCCTCTCTTGTGTTTTAAATCCTTTTGCCCTTTCCTATCTTTCGTAGAGATGGGGTCTCCCTCATGCTCGGGCTTGAACTCCTGAGCTCAGGCAGTCCACACAGCTCAACCTCACAGAGTGCTGGGATTGTAGGCGTGAGCCACTGTGCCCCACCCATACCGTGACCTTTGGGTGACTGAGTAAAAGGTATTATCAACATTAATGCTAAGGTTTCTGGCTTGAGCAACTGGGTGATGATAAGAGTACTCACTAGGATTTAAAACACAAAAGGAGCTGCAAAGATGCCAGGAAAGATAAATCTGGTTTTGACTGTGTTACCTTTGAGATATCTATAAAATATCCAAGGGGTAATGACCAGTAGAATGTACACATAAGTCTAAGATTCAAGATCTAGATATGGGCCAATCTAGATATGGGCGTTGCTCTAGTCTCTCTCTATGCATTTACAGTAATGAAATGTAAATGGAGGAACTAGTTCTCCTTGAAGGAGTGCACAGAAAGGAGAGAAAGCGGTCATAGGACACAAACAATAGCTCGCAGAATTACCTGACAGAGGGTCCTGATACTGCTTAAACTAGGTCAGAAAATTCCTTGCAGTTGCTCTTAGTATTTTAGAGTCTGCCGTTCAGCCCTTTAGGAAAAAATGAAATGCTCGTTTCTTAGTTACATTCTGAGCCTTGTCTTTCTTTTCATTACGATTTTTGATTATTTGGCAGACATATTAATCTAATGTGTTAATTTTTATCTTTTAATAATTTAAAAGCAATGGTTCATGTTTGCACAATGTTTAAACTGTAAAAACAATAGCACACAACCCATTATACTTAGCACTTTACTTAAGGATGAAATAATAGTGGTGAGTATTCGAATTGGTTACAATGTATGCGTGTTATCAAAGGCATGAATTTTGGAAGTACCATTTCTTCAACTGTGTTGATACCGGACTTTCCTCTTCAATGGTTCTTGGTCTCAGGGATTCGAAGAATGAATCTATGGACCACAGATCAGTGGTAAGACAGGATTTATTTACCAAAAAGGAAAAAAATACAAAAATGCCAAAGATCCTGGCAGAGAGAACCCAGGTGGGGGAAGATCTCTCTGACTCCCTCTGTCTCTCTCCAGGCTCTCTGCTCAGGCGTTTATACAGTCGTCTGGGGTTATTTAGCAGAACTCAACTGTTACGTTTAGTGGGCGGGTCCTCTAAAGTGACAATCAGCCTTAGCCTTACATTTAGCAGTTTGAGGCCTGATCTCAGTTAATGAATGGCTACAATCCCTTTCATTCAGGCCTAGGAAACTTAGATGAATTGACGAGGCTATGAAAAGGTTGGGTTTCCCATTCAGACCCAAGTGCAAGGGGAGAGTGTCTCCCCAGCAGTTGTCTGGCCCCTCTGGTTACTACACCCCCCCCAAGCCACACTCCCTCAACCCCCACCCTGCAGCCCGCTGGCTTCTCTGCCAGCTGCCGCTGCATCAACTCCACCAGGGCTAATGTCCTGGCACCACCTGTCCTGTATCAGTGTCAGTACACAAAAGTAAAAATATTCAGTAACATTTTATTGCTGATAATAAGCTAGACCATCAAAACTTCTTCTTGCAAGATTTCATCATGGTATATTTTCACCTGTGCTTGCCTTCAGTGTGAACTGCCCAACTAAGTCATTTAATTCTGATCTGCTATATCAGCGTTCCCTATACTTCACGGTATATTTAGAACTGTCTTTATAACTTACGTTTAAAAAATTCTTGAACAAAGATCCTATCCCATCTCTATTTTAGTAGTTTTTAAAAGCACATTTAAGCCTAGAATATCTTCATTATAGGGGTAAAACTAAGAGGAAAACAATAGAAAATAAATATTGCATTAGTGTATTGAAGTCAGATAGGGAACTAGGATGAACTAAGAAAATTATTATAAAATCAGATTTTAGCACTATGAACTTTAAAGATAACTGCTGCTTTTATAAGCTTATATCTGGATAGCTAAAACAGCATGTCAACCAATTAACATCTCGGAATTGTAACTCGCCCCTCTCTACAACTTGAGATCAGACAGATAAACACTGTAAAGAAATGACTTAATCATACACATTCTAAACACTCAGTGTTATCAAACTGTTAGCAAACTTTATAGTCACATGGAGGGCAACTTGTGCCGTCTTTAGTACAGGCTCAGGCAAGGACGCCCATGGGGGGAAATCATTGACATGGAATTTAGGTCTGGAGGCAACTAAATTTATTTTGTTGTGATTCATTAAAATTTAATCCTATCACGGGTTTTCTAACTTCTATATCATTACAATAGTTTTGGCAAGGGAGTAAAAGGAAGACAGAAGTAATGTTGACTTTTGGAAACAGACCATTTAATGGCAGTGTGGCTTCATTTCCCAACTCTCTTTGTGGTAGGCATTGAAATAGGATATTTCAAAGCTTGTGCAAGAAGGTAATGGGGGCTTTTCTCTTGAATTTCACACAGGCCCATTCTTTCTTTGCCATACTGCGGATAATTAGAATCCATCCCACTCAATGATTCTCTGTTTACAAGTAAATAAAAATTCTATTATCAAAGAAAGAACTCCTTTATGCAAAATTGATTCACTTGAAAATACTCTTTCATCTCCAATTATATCTTTATGTTTTTAATCTGCTCCTATCTTTGGTCAAATAGAATGTTTTCCTTGGAATATTGACTAGTAAAGAGAAATTACTTTAATGACCACTAAACTCTTAGTTTGCAAGTCATAAGTTTTTCTCTGATATTCCATTGGGTGATATTTGTACTGTATACAGTGTACTTTTCTCGGCATAATCAATAATTTTAGAATTGAAATACTGCAATGATTGACTATGTCTCTATACTAAGGTGACCAGATTTTAACATTGGTAAAGCAGGACACCATTGATGGGGGGGTTCTTAATTAAAAATTTGGTCTATATGGAGCAACAAAAATTTTGATAGAATGCAAAAATAGTATTGTAATATATATATTTTTAATTTCAACATAAGTACAATTTACAAATATAATACATTAAAAAATATGTATAGTATTATTTAATTCTTTGGCATATTTCTCATTTGAGTGAATTTTTTTTTTAGTAGATTGCTATCATTGTTTAAAAGGTCATGAAATTTTTCACAAGAATTTGTTAAATTATATTTCACACATAAAATGGCTTTCAAAGTCTCAACACTTAATTGTGATTTTTCTTACTTCCACACTTTATTTACTGTAGAAAAAACCCATTCAGTCGCAGCATTAGTTCCTGGTAAGGACAGTGCATATCCCACAATTTTTAGTGCATTGTTGTATGGAGCATGGTTTGTTTCAAAATGATGAAATATTTCTAACCATTTGTTCTCTGTTGTGATTTTTCCTGATGCCCAAGACTTAACCTTTTCCTTATCAATATATTTTTTTAATAATGATACCTCGTAAGTTGTAAGTGTCACTTTCAAGGCAGGCGCTAGACTTTTTGCCGCCACTATAAAATATAAATATGAGTACTGTCTGCTAAATTCATGAAATAAATAAATAAATTACTTACCTAAATTATCTAAATAGCTGATTTGTTGACATCACTTGTTTAACTAGCACTAGCACACAGTACAATGTGTATCACCTGAGAGACAGTTATAAATGTTTTCGTTGTTGCCAATGCCAAAAAATGCCATTGTTCATTAAGTCCGAACAATGGTGGTCGAATTCTAACAACTGATCAACAATGCGAACTTTGATAAGCAGTTCTTGATAATCAGTTCTCAACAATTATTTGTTATTATTAAAGTTTAACATTATAAAATTAACAAAAATAATATAAAACTCATATCATGGCAAAATAGCCACATGGCAGCTGAAAACCATATATTCCCTTCCCGTTCTCCCGCCATTCCCTAGCTTGTTGTGCATTCTTTCCAAAATTCGGTACTTTTTAAAAATGCAGTTCCACGCAGGACAAATTGTTAAAATTAGGGACTGTCCCACCAAAAGCGGGACATCTGGTCACCTTATTCTATATGCTTATAAAGCCATCAGGCTTGAAACCTTGAATATGGGTAGGAAATTTCCCTCAAGGAAAAGCAACATTTAGTTAGGTGAAGTGTCAAGTTGCTGGCTCACACTGTGTGAAAGTCAATATGTACCAAGTCATATTAGCGAATTTCATCTACACTGTTCAGAGGTTGTTGAACTCAATTACAGAAATGTGCAGAGCTCTATTTGATGTGTGAAGAGGTTAGAAGACCACAATCAATTAAAAAGAACACATGTATATCCTGTTCTGGGGAAAAAGTTGTTTCAGCATCCCTTGTGCTACTGCTTTTTTTTTTCTCTGAGTTTTTCTCTGAACATAGAAGAACAAAGCATTTAATAATTCCCCAGTTTCATTTGGAATTGTTTTGTCAGCAATATCTTGTACAAAGTCATGCAATTGTTGTTTTACTTGAATGAAGCCTCTGGCGGCTACAATTAAACATGCTGTCTTTCCTTTTGTAGCAAAACCATTTGAAAATGGACAATATTTGGACATTTATGGAATTACAAGGGACCAAGCTGGGGAGTATGAATGCAGTGCGGAAAATGATGTGTCCTTCCCAGATGTGAAAAAAGTGAAAATCGTCGTCAACTGTAAGTCTCATCACCTTTTATTCAGAAAACTTCTAAGAAATGACACAGGCCCTTGAAAAATTCTGTTTGGCATTTGTGTTGCATTGTTTAGGAAGCAGTCATCACTGAACAACAGTGAAAATGTGTACATGTGAAAATACTGGTCAGATTGTTTTAGGTAACAGCAGTTGTCCCAAGTAATTCCACAATAACTCAGTTTCATGCACGGATTTAAATGTTTCCAACATCACCCTAGTCCTTGGTGTCTAAACTGTGGTGTCCTTATCCAGAAAACGCTATAGACAGCTGCTGATTTTCCCTCAGGGACGGCTTCACCTGGAGTGCATTTGGACCAAATTTTAGTGTTTAACTCTCAACCAAACCTTGTAAAAACGAAATGTGCTGGTTTATACTCAAAGATAAGAGCTATATGTTGAGGCTTCTATTACTTGGGTGATTTAATTCTACTTAGTTCAGAAAATTTTGAGGAAAGGAAGAGAGAATTTCCCCACGAGCTTCCTTATTAAGAGGTGATGGTTGCAGAGCCACCAATGTCATTATGTCACCCACCTTCTCTGAACACCCCCCAACATATTCTCCAATAACACCCTGTGTGTGTCTTAGGATCTTAACGTAATGACTGCAATAGTCTCTTTATTTTTCAAAAATATTTTCTGGACAGCATCTGTGGCTCAGTGGGTAGGGCGCCAGCCCCATATACCAACGGTGGCAGATTCACACCCGACCCCAGCCAAACTGCAACAAAAAATAGCCAGGCATTGTGGTGGGTGCCTGTAGTCCCAGCTACTTGGGAAGCTGAGGCAAGAGAATCATCTAAGCCCAGGAGTTGGAGGTTGCTGTGAGCTGTGACACTATGGCACTCTACCAAGGGCAATAAAGTGAGACTCTGTCTTAAGAAAAAAAAATTATTTATTTTTATCTTAATAAGTTTCATACTGTATAACTTCACCAAATAAAATACCTTTGGGATGATAGTATTTTACCAAAAGTATTTACAAGTTACCACTTTCATTTGAAAAATTCCATGTATACATCTTTCTGTATATGGCCCTTGCTAATACTGTGTGCATAGTATTATACCATAGATCAGAAGAAATTGTTCCAAATATATCCAGATATGCTGAAACTAATTAGTAGTTGTTTCATATTAAGATGAGTCTTTCAGTCTCATGGGCCAAAAAAGTAACTTTCAAAGCACTCCTCGCAGTTAGGCTGTCTGCCAGAGCAAATCGCTGTCATCAACTAACTTTTGTCAGTGATTAGTCTACACTGAGGTTGACCTGTCTCTAGTAGACTGAGCAAATGTGCATGATTCCACATTAGGGGTCAGTTTGGGGAGCAGAATTTCTCATAGAGTATTCAGCAGAATCATCCAAGATGCTCATTAAAAATGGAGAATTCCCGGGCGCCCACATCACACATAGTTAGAATCCTTTGGGTTCATGGTCTGGAAATCTGCATTTTAACAAGTTCCTAGTGAAGCTCATGATTTTTGCTGCAGAGGCTACATACTGCTCATCCCTCTGGAACTTTCTGAAATAAGACGTAACAAACAAGGAAAATTCTCCATCATTTTATCACTAACCATGCTACGTGAATATGTGTGCACAAATTTGCTTGTTGGAGATTTTGAGAGCTGGGAAGGAAAAGGTTGGGAAGAAAGAACTATTAAGGAAGGAATATTTTTAGCAGTGAACATTATGAATAAAACCTGTCAAATGAGCAAGGCACCCAGCTCGCAGAGCAGCCCATGGTCAAACCCACGGACTCGACAGGTCTTTCCAATGATGTGCCTGATAGCAGTGACATTGAGAACACAACTGCTGGACGGATTTGCACGGCCCAACTCCATGTATAATGTACAATTTCTCTTGAATTTCCATTTGCCTTCACATCCCTCTGACTTTAATGTATTGTCATTTAATATTTAATCGGATTCTCTTTTTTCCTAAACGTGTAAGGACGTTAGACTGAGAAAGTTGATTTAAGGAGGTAGCAATGTGAGGAGTAAAATACAAAGACACAAGAACCAAATTAGTTATTATCAAAGGGCCTGGGTAGAGAGATGAGTCCACCCACACCGCAAAAGGACAGAAATGAGAGAACTGGGAAGGCGCTGCCACGGTTTTCATGAACGCTGGCAGAAGACAGGGGCAAAGGGCAGTTTATGACTCAGGGGAATAGCACCAGTCAGAGGATTGTCGGGTTTTTGCGTTCGTTTCTCAAGGCCCAATTATTATAGGGTAACGTGATAGGTGACACCTGTAGACACATGTCTCAGAGCTTAAGAAACTCAAATTTTATATAATGAAAGCAAATAAACTTCCTCTGTGCCACAAAGGAAGAAATTATCTTTATTATACTGAACTGTAAACCAACCTGCCCTTTGCTCCAGAGGGAAAAGGACTCCTATATTCTAAGACTGTGAAAAGAGAGTCTAGAACAAAAGCAGTCAGTGTCTCTGCTTGTAAGATCTGTAGAAATTCAGGAAACCGGGAGTGACACCTGTGGCTCAAAAGGGTAGGACGCTGGTCCCATATGCTGGAGGTGGCGGGTTCAAACCCAGCCCTGTCCAAAAAAAAAAATAAAAAAAGAAAAGAAAAAAAGAAAAGAAATTCAGGAAACCCACAAAAAATTGTCTTCCAATGTAAGGCAGGAGCCGGAGGTCTCAGGGAGAGCCCAGACACAGCCCACCAGGTGAAGAAGATGGTTTTGCTGCTGTTTCAGGGTATCAGACACCTTCAAATAGGTGGGAAAGAGGAGTTGGCTAATCATTTTAACTTAAGAGGGAAAACAGGAAAGAAAAATGGAGAGTAAAAGGAAAAAAAAAAAAAAAGACGGGAAGGAGCTTTCTAAACCAGAACACAGACTACATTTTACTAACAAGCTTCAGGCAGATGAAGCATCATCAGAAGTCAGTGTACTGTAGAGAAGCAAAATGTACTGCTCTCACATTAAAGAAAAAAACTAACAGGATTTTAAAATGATTTGAGAGAATCAGGTTGTCTGCTGCCCTCCCTGTATCATGCCTTTGATAGCTCACCTTTTCCTAAATATTTCATGAAGAACTGTGTTTAATACTGATTATGTTTAATCCTAATTGTGTTCAAGTCTGATGCCAAGTATGTATGTAAGGTGTGTAAGGTGTGTGAGTATGTCTCTATATATTCCTGGATGTGATAAGGTTTATAAGGTGTTAATTTTGTGAATTTATCCCTTTAAAAGTCGAAACTTGAGAGCTACCTCTGGATTTTACTGAACTGATTTCCCAAAGGAAATTAGCCAAAGCCCACATAACAAACTTTAGTTTGTCAAAGCCCAGAATTGAGCACGGTGGTCTGTGTTGCCAGCATGGGACTGCACATCCCCTGGTAACCTCAGAGTCCCTGAAGATGGCATCCTGCCAGGTTCAAGGCTGCCTTTCCTTTCTTTGTTATTAATCAATATTGATTGTACAGATGGAATTGCAGGAGCTTTGTGAGTTGTAATTTGAAGAGGAACTTTGTCCCTTTTCCCAAATGAGGTTCAAGATGAAATGTAATAAATTTTCATAAGTTTTATAGATTCGGTTAAGTCAATTCAAGAAAGAAATTTAGGTTCCCTGCAAGTTGGAAATGTTTAATGTTTTACTATTTGTCTAATACATTGGCCACATTCATTATATAGAGAAAATAAAGACTTAGAGCCAATGACATCATATTTACCACGTACTTAATATTTGAACTACTTTAATGTGGATTTCTGTTCAATTTAATTAAATAGTAGTTTGATGAGATGATTGATAAAATCGACTTAATTTATGTAGGTTGAGCTGGTTTGCTGATTGAATAAATCAGGTCATTGTGATTTATTTACAGAAAGCCTTACTATAGATAGAAATCCATAAGCATTCATATAAAGGATTATTTCTGAGTAAGAGGATTGTAGGCGATTATTATTCTTATATTCATCTGTATTTTCCTCTTTGTTAATATGTGCATATATGTATTTCTTGTCAAATTGAAAAGCAAACTAAAATGGTAAAAAATAGATCATGAAAATTATCATACCCAGAACTTGAGAGATTAACATACTCACATCCACATACAGAACAAGAGAAAATAAAATGGAACAGTTGATTAGCTAAGCCAGAAGGAACTGGCAGATTTATGTTGAATGGATTCTGCTTTATTTGAATTCATACTCCATCCTTAGCAGCAGCCTAGTGGGTCCTAGGCCCGTAATTTTTATTGGTAATTACAGATTGGGAGAATGAACATGTTCCAGCAAGTCCATGGATTCAGTTCAATTGGGGAAAACAGGAACAAGTGAAGGTCTCATTAGACAAAGCAAGACCAGAATTTGCAAAATCCAGGAAGGTGACTTGTTGGATGCCAAGTCTGGCATCTGGAAGGTATAGGAAGTCCTGTAGACTGATGAAGCCATGTAAATATGTACAGAGGAGAAGAATCTCAGGTATTAGGAAATTAGCAAACCCTGGAGGACCCGGCCCTGTATGAATGTTGTCAGTAAAGCGGGTGGATTCCCTTTTGACAGAGGCCTTTGTTCCCCACTATTTCTATGCTTCCGTCCAGGTAGAAGTTGCTATTTTGGAAATGTGGGACTTGAAGATGACATTTGTCCAAACAAAAATAATTACTTGACTATAATGATTAACATATGGTTTAGTTCCATAATTTACTGGGCTTTGAGATCTTAGGAAAGCAAGTTGACCTCTCTGAGTCTTGATTTCTACTTTTTAAAATTCAAGGCAATAATACATTACTTATTTATAAATTTGTGATTGTTATCAATGTTTAAATATTGATATTTACAAATACATACATATGAATATAAGCTCAAATTACCCTACAATGTAAACTTTATGTAGTAAGGGGTTTTCCTGTTCTTTGGATACTGGTATGTTCCTGTCATTGAGAACAGAACCTGGTCCATAGACAGGCATCCCCAAAATTGCCTGTGGAATCAATGAATTATTAAAGAGATTAGATTCTGCCAGG